GACGTGGCCTCACTTTCCTGTCGCTGGGATCTTTAACTTCACCCTCCTCCAGGTCATCATCCTGCAAGGCACAGAAGCAAAAGATGCTTAATAGAGTCAAGTCGTCATGAAACCCACCGACTCTTTTACAGTAAAATCAAAGCCAGCAACTCCTAAGTTTCAGAGAATGTGCATCCCGGGGCAAACAGGAACACGGCAGCATCGTGGCCTCACTTTCCTGTCGCTGGGATCTTTAACTTCACCCTCCTCCAGGTCATCATCCTGCAAGGCACAGAAGCAAAAGATGCTTAATAGAGTCAAGTCGTCATGAAACCCACCGACTCTTTTACAGTAAAATCAAAGCCAGCAACTCCTAAGTTTCAGAGAATGTGCATCCCGGGGCAAACAGGAACACGGCAGCATGACACATGCTGTGCACCTTCATGTAGGGGAGCAAGCGTATTAATTCTAGTGTTCCAGGGAGGACTGGACTCTTGCAAGCATCAAGAGCATCTTAGTATTGAGATCAGACTTCAGAGTCCACGTTGCACCCATTTTCAAGTTTTAAAATGGGGCAAACCTGAGTGGATGTTAGGAAAACGATAGAGCAATATCACACTGATTTATCTTCAGTTCCTCTTTAGTTTATATCTTCAAAAATGCATGTTCAATTACAAGAGACACAGTGTTGCATACAGACCAGCCCGAAACAACTGGTGAGGATAGCGGATACAGATGTCAAGAACCTACACAAGAAGTTCTGGAGACAATTTCTGAATTATAACATACATATGAATGTGCCTCTTTATAGTGGGGAGTGACAGAATCTCACAAACAGCTTTGCAGGAAGGAAGTTAAATCTGTTGCTTTCAAAGACCCCTGCTGCAGCAGGTAAAACACATTCCCCGCCCCACTATTCCTACCCTTCTATTTTTTAACAGGGGGCTCAGGAGTTCAGCGTGAGTCAAAGTAGGGATGTTAAATTTTGATTAATCAGCTAATTGAGGAGTCGATGGAATTTCTATCGACTACTCGATTAGTCAATAAGGGGGGGTGCTCACTATCCTGCTTTGCCTCTCCCTTAGAAATGTACAGGACCCTGCGGCTCCTGTGCATTTCCAAGGGAGAGAGGCAGTGGGAACCAAGGCAGCAGGAACCTAGGACAGCAGAGCAAAGCAGTCTCTGCTGGCAGGGGTTCCCTTCTGTGCCTCTTCCTTTAAAATGTACAAGAAATGGACATTTCAAAGGGAAAGGAGCAGCAGTGGACCCGGCAGGAGTGGGACTATTTCAATCCCCGCTTGTGCAGTTTTCCCACTGGCCCGTGCCTCCCCTGCTCCCCACAGAGACAGTGCTCCACCAGCACCGGCTCCTGCTTCCCATCCCTTGCTGCCTCTCTGACAGAGGCAGCAAGGGGGGGAGGGGAGGGAGGAAGTGACTAGTCGAATTCCCACTTGACTACCCGATAAGCCTTTGCTTATCGGATAGTCGACTCGTTGCTTAGATCCCTACAAAGCACTGCTCAGAATGGAACTCAGCACAAACCCAGTGTGCACAGGCAGAACCTTAGGAAGATGGAGTGCACAGGAGCTGCCTAAGTTGCTTTCAAGATGAGTCACCTGGGAAGATTAGACCTCAAAACGAGATGTGTGAAATGAAATATACCTCCCCAGAATAAAACAAGTGTAGCTGCACAGAGGCGGCTTCTGTTCTTCTCCGGGGAAATGCTTTTGGAAAAAACTTTCAGCCACTTGGATCTGTCAGGTCAAAGGGAGATTTTTTTAAAGGGGTCAAGGGGGAAGGAAATGGGCCATGTGACCTGGGATGTCAAAGGCACTAGGGGTTTTGGCTCTCAAGAGCAGCCGCAGTTGCGACTAAAGGCTTGTCTACATGACAGCTGGGAGCATGAGTCCTCGCTTGGGCAGACGGACACATGCCCACTCTCCTGGAGTCAGCATGCTAGAAGTAGCAGGGTAGCCACTGGCTGCATGAGCAATAGCTCAGTTTAGCCACCTATCGACAAACACGCATGGACATCCTGGGTACATACTCAAGTAGCAAGCCCAAGCTGCTGCCCGTGTGACCCGTGGCTACACTCCTATTTTTAGCACGCCAGCTCAGGCAGAGCTACTGTGTGTGTCTGTCTACCCATTCTGGAAAGCATTCTCCTGACTGTAGTGTAGCTCTGCCCAAGAAAGTACTGGAACCTTCACTTGTCTCTCTCAGCTTCCCTACAATATTTTCACATTGTGGAACATCTTCATAGACCATCGGCAATCATAACATCCCCGTAACACAGGGATGGGCAAAGATTTTTTACTGGGGACTGCCTCAGAAATTTTTGAAGTGGTCGTGAGGCTGCCCTAGAAGGGGTGGGGCCTCAGGCGGAAGGGGCGGGGCTAGGACACTTCCATGTTTCCCCACTCACATACCTTGGTTGGTCTCAGGGTGGGGAGCGCGCAAAGTCTTTGCTCTCCCCCCACTCCCCAAAGAGAACCTTCAGCTGTTCAGAACAGCTGGCAGTTCCCTCTAGGCAGCCGTGCTCCTGGCGGTGGGAGAATTCGTGAGCTCCCCCGGCTGCTCCCAGGTCAATCAGGGCCTGGGGAGGGGGAGCACAAGAAGTCTCTTGCTTCCTACCCCCGCCCTGCAAGGGAGCGCCGTGCTTAGAGTCAACCGCCAGCTGAGCAGCAGCTGGCGGGTGAGGAGTTCAGCAGACTTCACACACTCCCCTATGCCCCCATGCCAATCAGGGCTGGGGGGTGGGGTAGTGCACAGTCTCCCCCCACCCTGATTGGCCTGGGGGTAGAGGGAGTGGCAGGGCCTTCGCAGGCTGGATGAACTTGTTTGGCGGGCCGGATCTAGCCCACAGAGTCCCTTTTGCCCACCCCTGCTGTAACAACTACAATGCTTCCTTCCATGGAAAACTTATAAGGAAAACGTTTTACGTATTTTTAGCCATGTTACACCTGGAAACCAGGGGAAACCTCTGCTTGGCACTGGATAACCCCGCTCTCCAGGGACCCACTGCACCATCTCTCAGTTACTTTGGGCCAGAGCTCATTTTGAAAAATGTTTGCAAATGGGGCACACATTTAAATCTTGTGCTAGCTTTTCTTCTCCATCAAGCTAAAAAAGTCTGTAAACAGAATAAACTGCAAACAAATTAACCCTCCCTTTCCCCCCATAAAAAAAGAGATGGGTCTTGCATTCAACAGAATGTGAATGGTATAGCCAGCTTAACTCAGTTACTTTCAGTAGAACTGTGTGACATCTTTGCAAAGCTAGTGCTTGAACAAAAGGGAAAGCATTTGATTCTTGTTAGACCACACAGAATTAGACAGCTGGGATCTCCGTTATAAGCAAATGTATGAAAGCCATTCAGAGTGCAAGTTCGTCTTGCATATTAGTGTGCACAGAGGTCCCAGGAATTCCTATGAATCAGGAGGAAAGATTTAGTATTGTATTAAGAAGCATGTTAAAAATTTATTTTAAAATTTTAGGGATCTAGTACATTTAATTGCTTGGGTTCTCCCAGACTAAGGATTTCCAGTAATATATTACACAGATATGTCTAACCTACAATGAAACTGAGTCAGAACAGTTGAAAATATATCATGGATTTTATCAGATCATCTTCCACTGAGGAAAACATCACATACATGATCCTGACCACTTATTTAGTCAAAGCAAAATGGGATTAAACCAACAAAGAAAACTCAAGATATTGTCAGAGGATTGCTGAGTGGGGTGTGAAAAGTTTTGTTCTGATCTTTGGCTAGGAACTGAGTCGTTCAGCAGATTAAAGCAAACAGGAGGACAAGTGGCCAATGCAGAAAAGATCAATTTTGTTTTACCTGCACTTCTACTGGATTAAAAAAAACCTGAGGTCTTTTAGACAAAGTTCTAATAAGCTAAACCCTCTGTCATTCACCAACATGTCCTGAACATTTTACCACCAATAGGGGGAGTTCAGCCAGACATCAGTGCATAATGTGGGATCTATGCTAAATTCAGCTAATGCTGGTCTACCATAGTTTCCACTGAGATATGAACCTCTTCTCCAGGAAACGTCACTGCCAGCTGCAGCCCAACTGGAAAGCCAAATGAAATGACAGACTATTATTTTGTTTGTCTCCTCCAATTAACTTCCTCTCCGTTAGTCTTCAATGGAGAACATCCTACTTTTCCACCCTGACTTTCAAGTTCTCCAGTCAGGATAATCTTCCTTGGCTGAGTAGGACTGGAAATTACTACTTTCCAAACTCACTGTTTCCTTGCTTGATTAATTGAGAGATGCTGCAGTGACAAACTTTCCCTGCCCAGTTGTACCTGTTGCATGGGGAATAAGAAACAGAGGCAAGAAACTGCACTTGGGTCTCTGACAGGAATTAACACTAGCCACTTTGCATTTATAATTTAAATGCTGCCTAACGCTCCTAGTAGTCACAGGGAAGTGAGGTCTAAACCCACAGGAAGGATTCTAGTCCCTACTCTGTGGTGCTGAGAAAGTCTCCTCCATCTGTAAAACGGAAGCAGTTGTACACAGGGTGACTGAAGAGTGTTGCTGTACTAAGTAAGTGTGTTCCTAATGGGATTCATCACTTGGCCTTTCTGTGTACAAACTCCGATCAGTCCTCACAGGGAGTGGGCACCACCAAAGCGGCAGACAACAACTTACTCCAATTGCCAGCTACGTGTGTTATGTTGTTTGTACAGTGCCTAGCACAAAGAGGTCCTGCCACATGGTCCATCTGCAAGAGCCATTCCAGCCTGGTAGGCTAACAACGTACAAGTGAGGGCATAGCTTACAAGCACCTAGCATGCGGCTAACTAACATGGTGCTAGCATCATCCAAAAGTCCTTTGTGAGCGTAACATAAGAACTAGGGGTCACCGAGTGAAATTAAGAGGTAGCAGGTTTAAATCAAACAAAAGGACGTTTTCCTTCATGCAGCGCAGTCAGCCTGTGGAACTCCTTGCCAGAGGATGTTGTGAAGACCAGGACTTTAACAGAGTTCAAAAAAGAGCTAGATAAATTCATGGAGCTTAGCTCCATCAATAGCTATTAGCCAGAACGGGTAGGGAGGGTGTCCCTAGCTTCTGTTTGTCAGAGGCTGGGAATGGATGACGGGGAGGGATCACTGGATGATTCCCTGTTCTGTTCACTCCCACTGGGGCACCTGGCATTGGCCACTGTTGGCAGACAGGGCACTGGGCTAGATGGACCTTTGGTCTGACCGAGTATGGCCATTCTGATGTTCTTATGAGCAAAAGTAGAAATCTGACACTCCGGTGATGCTGTGCACTTGATAAGCATCAAGTTTACTTGAGATTTCTTTACAGATGTCGTGTGCAACAGGCTTTCCCACAGAACATAGCATCTGAAGTCACAATTAAGTGCCCCCAAATTAAAAAGCCCAGCCATACTGGGTTGGACCAAAGGTCCATTTAGCCCAGGATCCTGTCTGCCCATAGTGGCCAACGCCAGGTGCCCCAGAAAGAATGACCAGATAATCAACAAGTGATCCAGCCCCTGTCACTCATTCCCAGCTTCTGACAAACAAAGGCTAGGGATGCCATTCCTGTCCATACTGTGTAATGGGCATTAATGGACCTATCCTCCATGAATTTATCTAGTAGTTTTTTGAACCTTGTTATTGAATTGGACTTCACAACATCCGCTGGCAAGGAGTTCCACAGGCTGACTGTGCACTAAGTGAAGAAAAACTGTGTTTTGTTTGTTTTAAACCTGCGACCTATTAATTTCATTGGATGACCCCTTGGTCTTGCGTTATGAGAAAGAGTAAGTAACTCTTCTTTGGTCACTTTTTCCACACCAGTCATGATTTTGTAGATCTCGATCATATCCCCCTTAGATATGCTGAGGCATGCTGAGCTTGAGAGGGATGGATAGTTAGAGCGCCATAAATTATGCCCAAAAAGCTACTGTAAATATTCACCTAAAACAGGACAAACGTTAAGAGCAGACAGCCTAAGGACCTGCTAATTCTGAAGCCAACAATTGATTTCCCCACCCCACATGAGCTTCCCTGAATTCCCTCTTTCTGAGGATAACCCAAACTTACATCAATCTCCCCGTCATCAATTTCTCCATCATCTTCCTCTTTCTTCTTCTCTTTGAGGGGTTCCTGGCCATCCTTTTCGTCATCGCTTTTACTGTTAGATTTCTTCTCGTCCTCGGGTGCATCGTCTCCCTTCTCCTCCTCCTCGTCATCCTCACCTCCTGCCTTCTCAGCCTCATCCTCTGGAACAGCCGCACTTGGCTCCTCGGGAACCTCCTCATCATAGTCCAATTCATGCTCATCCAGTTCCCGAGTGACAGAGGATGCTTCATCTCCAAGGTCATTCGTCCGGTCCTCCTCCTCCTCTTTGTGACACAGGGAGATCTTTAGCTCCCTGCTCTGCTCATTATTGTCAGAGTCCTGAGACTTGGTTTCACTTAAGTGGTCCTCCTCATCCGAGTGGTTCTCTTCTTCCCCATGACTCAGTCCCCTGACTGTATCCTCCTCTTTCTCCAGGAGGTTGCTATGGCTCTCTCCATCCAGTTCCCGATCGGAGCCGCTCTCTTTCAAGATTTCGTCATCCGAGAGCTGCTGGTCCTCCTCCTCCGGAGAGCAAGGGTGTTGCTCAGGGCTGTCGGAAACATCCATCAGTACCTGCTAGTCTGCAAAGGGCAAACAAAATATGTTTAGGACGTGGAACAAAAACTGCCTCACTCATGCTTATTTGAGTATTGTCCCAGACTGATTAATTATACACTTTGTGTATGCAGAGATACCACCTTGGACTAGGATTTCAACTGCTCGTCCAAGCTACACAGGGTCAGGACAGATCACTACTTGGATAGACCCTACCTTCCCCTAAAATTCCAGGCGCTGCATGAAAAGGCATGGTACTAGTCCCTCAAAGAGGATATTTAACCAGAACCTCAGCGTGGTGCCATGCTTCAGCTTTGGGATGACTTGTAAAATAGAGGACCTAACCAGACCTGGTTAAAAGCCCAACGATTGTCTACGAAAATTATTCTTCGCTTGTTTCATCTGGAGAAGTTATTTTCCACATCTGCTCCTAAAAGCGGCAGACAACCCTGTCGGTGTAAAACGGCTGTGGCGTGCCACCCCAGAGATCAGGCATGTAAGCGACTAGTCGAGTAAGAACTCGACTAATCACTTCCCTCCATTTGCTGCCTCTATCAGAGAGAGGCAGTAAGGGGGAGAGCAGGAGCAGCGCTAAGGAGCTGACTTAAAAGCTGGTTCCCCCCAGCACCATCTCCACGGGGGGCAGAGGGCAGTGGGCCATTGAAACAGTCCTGCTCAGGCTGGTCTGACTGGTGCTCCTCTCCCTTTGAAATGTACAAGAGCTGCCTGAGACTCTTGTACATTTCAAAGGAAAAGGCACAGAGGGCAACCTGTGCCAACAGGGACTGACACAGGTTCCTGCTACCGCTCTCCCTTTGAAATATACAGGAGCCGCTCACAGCTCCTGTACATTTCAAAGGGAGAGGCGCAGCGGGATAGCAAGTGCCCCCCTTAACTAGTCAAGGATTTGAAGGAAATTAGAACATAATAGAGGCCATACGGGGTCAGACCAAAGGTCCATCTAGCCCAGTGTCCTGTCTGCCGACAGTGGCCAATACCAGACGACCCAGAGGGAGGGAACACAACAGGTAATCATCACGTGATCCTTCCCCGGTCATCCATCTCCAGACAAACAGAGGCTAGGGATCCTGTTCCTACCCATCTTGGCTCAAACCCATTGATAGACCTAACCTCCAGGAATCAATCTAGCTCTTTTTTGAACCCTGTTAAAGTCCTAGTCTTCACCACATCCTCTGGCAAGGAGTTCCACAGGTTGACTGTGCGCTGAGTGAAGAAAAACTTCCTTTTGTTTGTTTTAAACCTGAGGCCTATTAATTTTATTTAGTGACCCCTAGTTCTTATATTGTGGGAACAAGAAAATTACTTTTCCTTATTCACTTTTTCCACACCAGTCACGATTGTATAGACCTCTATCATATCCCCCCTTAGTCTCCTCTTTTCTAAGCTGAAAAGTCCAAGTCTTTTTAATCTCTCTTCATATGGGACCTGCAAACAAATTAACCCTCCCTTTCCCCCCATAAAAAAAGAGATGGGTCTTGCATTCAACAGAATGTGAATGGTATAGCCAGCTTAACTCAGTTACTTTCAGTAGAACTGTGTGACATCTTTGCAAAGCTAGTGCTTGAACAAAAGGGAAAGCATTTGATTCTTGTTAGACCACACAGAATTAGACAGCTGGGATCTCCGTTATAAGCAAATGTATGAAAGCCATTCAGAGTGCAAGTTCGTCTTGCATATTAGTGTGCACAGAGGTCCCAGGAATTCCTATGAATCAGGAGGAAAGATTTAGTATTGTATTAAGAAGCATGTTAAAAATTTATTTTAAAATTTTAGGGATCTAGTACATTTAATTGCTTGGGTTCTCCCAGACTAAGGATTTCCAGTAATATATTACACAGATATGTCTAACCTACAATGAAACTGAGTCAGAACAGTTGAAAATATATCATGGATTTTATCAGATCATCTTCCACTGAGGAAAACATCACATACATGATCCTGACCACTTATTTAGTCAAAGCAAAATGGGATTAAACCAACAAAGAAAACTCAAGATATTGTCAGAGGATTGCTGAGTGGGGTGTGAAAAGTTTTGTTCTGATCTTTGGCTAGGAACTGAGTCGTTCAGCAGATTAAAGCAAACAGGAGGACAAGTGGCCAATGCAGAAAAGATCAATTTTGTTTTACCTGCACTTCTACTGGATTAAAAAAAACCTGAGGTCTTTTAGACAAAGTTCTAATAAGCTAAACCCTCTGTCATTCACCAACATGTCCTGAACATTTTACCACCAATAGGGGGAGTTCAGCCAGACATCAGTGCATAATGTGGGATCTATGCTAAATTCAGCTAATGCTGGTCTACCATAGTTTCCACTGAGATATGAACCTCTTCTCCAGGAAACGTCACTGCCAGCTGCAGCCCAACTGGAAAGCCAAATGAAATGACAGACTATTATTTTGTTTGTCTCCTCCAATTAACTTCCTCTCCGTTAGTCTTCAATGGAGAACATCCTACTTTTCCACCCTGACTTTCAAGTTCTCCAGTCAGGATAATCTTCCTTGGCTGAGTAGGACTGGAAATTACTACTTTCCAAACTCACTGTTTCCTTGCTTGATTAATTGAGAGATGCTGCAGTGACAAACTTTCCCTGCCCAGTTGTACCTGTTGCATGGGGAATAAGAAACAGAGGCAAGAAACTGCACTTGGGTCTCTGACAGGAATTAACACTAGCCACTTTGCATTTATAATTTAAATGCTGCCTAACGCTCCTAGTAGTCACAGGGAAGTGAGGTCTAAACCCACAGGAAGGATTCTAGTCCCTACTCTGTGGTGCTGAGAAAGTCTCCTCCATCTGTAAAACGGAAGCAGTTGTACACAGGGTGACTGAAGAGTGTTGCTGTACTAAGTAAGTGTGTTCCTAATGGGATTCATCACTTGGCCTTTCTGTGTACAAACTCCGATCAGTCCTCACAGGGAGTGGGCACCACCAAAGCGGCAGACAACAACTTACTCCAATTGCCAGCTACGTGTGTTATTGTTTTTGTACAGTGCCTAGCACAAAGAGGTCCTGCCACATGGTCCATCTGCAAGAGCCATTCCAGCCTGGTAGGCTAACAACGTACAAGTGAGGGCATAGCTTACAAGCACCTAGCATGCGGCTAACTAACATGGTGCTAGCATCATCCAAAAGTCCTTTGTGAGCGTAACATAAGAACTAGGGGTCACCGAGTGAAATTAAGAGGTAGCAGGTTTAAATCAAACAAAAGGACGTTTTCCTTCATGCAGCGCAGTCAGCCTGTGGAACTCCTTGCCAGAGGATGTTGTGAAGACCAGGACTTTAACAGAGTTCAAAAAAGAGCTAGATAAATTCATGGAGCTTAGCTCCATCAATAGCTATTAGCCAGAACGGGTAGGGAGGGTGTCCCTAGCTTCTGTTTGTCAGAGGCTGGGAATGGATGACGGGGAGGGATCACTGGATGATTCCCTGTTCTGTTCCCTCCCACTGGGGCACCTGGCATTGGCCACTGTTGGCAGACAGGGCACTGGGCTAGATGGACCTTTGGTCTGACCGAGTATGGCCATTCTGATGTTCTTATGAGCAAAAGTAGAAATCTGACACTCCGGTGATGCTGTGCACTTGATAAGCATCAAGTTTACTTGAGATTTCTTTACAGATGTCGTGTGCAACAGGCTTTCCCACAGAACATAGCATCTGAAGTCACAATTAAGTGCATATTAGGCTTCCCTTTTCAGAAGTGAGCACCTCATTTATAAGAGCAGCCATACTGGGTTGGACCAAAGGTCCATTTAGCCCAGGATCCTGTCTGCCCATAGTGGCCAACGCCAGGTGCCCCAGAAAGAATGACCAGATAATCAACAAGTGATCCAGCCCCTGTCACTCATTCCCAGCTTCTGACAAACAAAGGCTAGGGATGCCATTCCTGTCCATACTGTGTAATGGGCATTAATGGACCTATCCTCCATGAATTTATCTAGTAGTTTTTTGAACCTTGTTATTGAATTGGACTTCACAACATCCGCTGGCAAGGAGTTCCACAGGCTGACTGTGCACTAAGTGAAGAAAAACTGTGTTTTGTTTGTTTTAAACCTGCGACCTATTAATTTCATTGGATGACCCCTTGGTCTTGCGTTATGAGAAAGAGTAAGTAACTCTTCTTTGGTCACTTTTTCCACACCAGTCATGATTTTGTAGATCTCGATCATATCCCCCTTAGATATGCTGAGGCATGCTGAGCTTGAGAGGGATGGATAGTTAGAGCGCCATAAATTATGCCCAAAAAGCTACTGTAAATATTCACCTAAAACAGGACAAACGTTAAGAGCAGACAGCCTAAGGACCTGCTAATTCTGAAGCCAACAATTGATTTCCCCACCCCACATGAGCTTCCCTGAATTCCCTCTTTCTGAGGATAACCCAAACTTACATCAATCTCCCCGTCATCAATTTCTCCATCATCTTCCTCTTTCTTCTTCTCTTTGAGGGGTTCCTGGCCATCCTTTTCGTCATCGCTTTTACTGTTAGATTTCTTCTCGTCCTCGGGTGCATCGTCTCCCTTCTCCTCCTCCTCGTCATCCTCACCTCCTGCCTTCTCAGCCTCATCCTCTGGAACAGCCGCACTTGGCTCCTCGGGAACCTCCTCATCATAGTCCAATTCATGCTCATCCAGTTCCCGAGTGACAGAGGATGCTTCATCTCCAAGGTCATTCGTCCGGTCCTCCTCCTCCTCTTTGTGACACAGGGAGATCTTTAGCTCCCTGCTCTGCTCATTATTGTCAGAGTCCTGAGACTTGGTTTCACTTAAGTGGTCCTCCTCATCCGAGTGGTTCTCTTCTTCCCCATGACTCAGTCCCCTGACTGTATCCTCCTCTTTCTCCAGGAGGTTGCTATGGCTCTCTCCATCCAGTTCCCGATCGGAGCCGCTCTCTTTCAAGATTTCGTCATCCGAGAGCTGCTGGTCCTCCTCCTCCGGAGAGCAAGGGTGTTGCTCAGGGCTGTCGGAAACATCCATCAGTACCTGCTAGTCTGCAAAGGGCAAACAAAATATGTTTAGGACGTGGAACAAAA